TTGAGCATTATTGTCCAGAAGGGAAGTCTGGGGCAGGATGGGAGCTCTTGTCCAGAAGGGAAATCCTGGGTTGGGGGCAAGATGGGAGCTGGGGGCTGGTCTCTATGTCTCAGAAAGTGGCTGGGGTCTAGGGCAGATGGGCTTGGGGGCAGGGTGTGGAGATTGCAGGGTCTGCCAGGGGTCTTGGAGAAGGGGAGTCTTCCCAGTAGGGCTAGAAGAGAACCTGCCCAGTGGCCAGAACCTGGGGCCAAGTTGGTTAGGTCTTCCCTGGAGTGCCTGGTGCCCAGGGATGGGGTCTAGGCTGAGCACAGACACTCACCTCTTGTCCAGAAGGGAAGTCTGGGGGCAGGATGGGAGCTGGGAGGGAGCTGGTCTCTAAGTCTCAAGAAGTGGCTGGGGTCTTGGGCGGATGGGCATGGGGGCAGGGCGTGGAGATTGCAGGGTATGCCGGGGGTCTTGGAGAAGAGGAGCCTTCTTGGTAGGGCTAGAAGGGAACCTGCCCAATGGCCAGAACCTGGGGCCAAGTTGGGCAGGTCTTCCCTGGAGTGGCTGGTGCCCAGGGATGGGATCTAGGCTGAGCCCAGACACTCACCTCTTGTCCAGAAGGGAAATCCGGGGGCAGGATGGGAGCTGGGGGCGGGTCTCCTGGTGGAATCTTATATATCACAATTGTATCAACAGGTCATGCTGAATGACTATGTCATATAAGAGCAGTTTACAATATTACACTATAACCAAATCACATAACATCACATTTCTCAGAATTTCTAGTTACATGCTTTTACTAGCTTCTTTTTCTTAGTGTTATTACTTTTTAAATTATAATTTTAATTAAAACATAGTTACATAATTCTCCCTTCCCTTTCTTCCCTCCTATATCTCTAATATCCCCTCCCTCCAGCTCCTCATATGGCTCCCCCTTACTTACTCTCAAATTAACCACCTCTTTATCTCTGATTATTATTGTTTTACACACACACACAAACACACACACTCAACCAACTTAGTCTGTTGCATTTGTGTATATGATTTTGGGGCTGACCATTGGCATTAAATAACCAATTAGGGGGCTCATATCTGGGGAAGACTAATTATCTGACTCTCAGCAGTAATTAATTTCCTGTAGTTGTTTGTCTAGGGTTGTGGCCCTATGAGATTCTCTCCTTCTACATTACCATGTCTATTGGTGTTATAATTCTCCAGGTTTTGTTTAGAAAGCCATATTGTTGAGGTATCCTGGATGCATCTTACCTCTCAGTTCTAGAACACACAATCTCAAAGCAGACTTCTAGGCCCCGAAGCTCTTACAATCTTTCCATTTTCCAGAGAAGTTAGCTGAGTCTTAGGAACAGGGCTTGTATTGCAGATGTGTTCCTTAAAGTTAGGAACCTCAGAATCAGTTATTTCTGCATTTTGACTTGTTTTCTGCCATAATGTTTTTGTGGGGTTTTTTTTTCCTGCTTTTTGAGGAGCTTTTTGATGTGGAATGAGAGCTACAATTATTTGTGGGTATAAGAATCAGATTTAGAATGTAGTTAGTAATGATGTTAGTCTAGCAAAGGTCTTAGGTCCATGTCTTCACTAGCACCAGGTACTTGGATAGGTTTCTAGTACCAGATAAGAGTTCTTCTCTTCGCTGTTGAGGGAATCTCAATTTACGATTATTGTGCATTTTATTGAAGGCTTGCAGCTCACAAATTTGTAAAGATATTGTCTAATTTTCTTTAAATAACTAAAAACCACCTACAAGGCAGTATTTTCATTAGAAGCACTTGGAACTCCCAGGGGACAGAGGCCATGCCAGATGACGTGCTTTGGTTACTGTGAAGGGTGCTACTGGTATTAATGGGTAGCACCAAGGACTAACTTACTAGCTGTATATTTTTTTTAACTTGGAAAAATTACATTCAGATACAGTAAATTTTCAATATCCCCAAATAGGTAATTTATAGTAAAAGTTTCTGGTGTACAGTTTTTCTGAAATACATCATACAACATAGAAAAGATGTTGGAAAAGAACATCCTTTTGTAGTTGGATTTTTCTTTAGGCTGCTAGCTCACAAATAAGGACATGGAGACATATTAATTATAAAAATCTTTGTCTTAGCTTAGGCTTGTTTTTAACTAGTACCTATAACTTAACCCATTTCTACTAATCTATATTCTGTCACATAGTGCTCATTCAGCTTCTTCTGTGCTTCCTGTTCTGTCTGCCTTTCTTCTTCTTGAAGTCCTCTCTGTTCCTGGAAATTCCACCTAACCTCTTCCTAGCTATTGGCCATTCAGCTTTTTATTACACCAATCACAGCAACACATTTTCATACAGTATACAAATATTCCACAACAGCCTTTCTTTAGTTAAGGAAATAAATGAAATCTTTGAAGTGAATGAAGATTCTATAAATTAATAACTGTAGTAGGAAATAGCATCAATAGCATCCTAAACCTGAAGTGCCTGAGACATGCAGCATAGATTGAACCACAATGGGCAAATGCATCAGGCAGCTTACAATAAGAGAAAATGTATACAGTTATCAGACAATAGCACGCAGCATATATTGAATCAAACCAAATAATATCAGAAAATGCATGCAGCATAGATTGAACCAAACTGAATAATGGTATCAGACAATGACAGAAACTCAATATCAAGAGAACACAGAGTATTATTAAAAACATTCTGAATTTTTGGGAAGCCATAGTAATATCTTCTTTCTTAAAATAAAAAGGCACAATGGTATATTCAGTATTCAAGGCAACACATCATCCATCCTAAACCCTTGTTTGCTTTTCTATACTACAGTGAATACAAAGCAAAGGAACTGATTCTCTGAGCTTTTCCCAACCAAGATTCTATGTATGATTTAGGATTAAGGTTTCTATAAAAGATGTATCAACCTGAGAGTTGGATTGAAAACTGAATTACAGTGAGAAAAGGATGGAGGGAGAAAAAATGGAAAGAAAGAGCATGAGAAGAGGGGGATGAAGAGAAGGAGGAGGAAGAGGAAAGAGATGAAGTTAGTCTTAGAGAGAGGAGGATAAAGAAGAAAAAGGCATTGAAAGAGCAGAATAACAGGACAAGAAAATAGAGTGAAGAGTGGAGGAGATAGGGAGAACCAAGTTCCAAGTCACTCACTTTTCTACAAAGTGTGTAGTGACTCCAAAGGCAAATGTTCTCATGGTTCCTTCTTGGTGTTCAGGATGAAATATGTAGTGCCAGGATGGGACAATGAGGTGCCTACTGGGACTCAATTTTCTGAACCTCAGTTTTGTGCAGGTCAAATGGATTGTACATAGATTATAGAGCACATTTTATAATGGTAGACAAAATGTGAAAACAACCTGAATGCATCTTGTTGAGTCATTGGTTAAAAGGATCTCATCCACACCCCCAAACATCACAGGCTATTAAAAAGACTATTGGTTATTCTGCATAACTTGACAGTAAGGCCCTATTGCTGAAAACACTACTTGTGCAATTGAAAAGGTAGCTATCAAGCTGGTGGCCAACTTTAAGCATTACCTCTACATTTAATACTGCTAAAGCATACTAAAGTACTATGCATTTTGAGTACTAAAATAATAATGACTAAAATGAAAACTGATACCAGTGAATTATTTTTCTGAAAATAGCCTTCAGGCTGTGAATGTCAGAAGTAAGTAAGAAGGTTTGCTATTATTGGTGAAATTATTAAGGCCACTCCACATAGTTAAAAGGGAGATTTATTTAATGGCGTAACTTACAAATGAAGAGATAGGTAGGTGGCAGGTTCTGGGAAAGACGCAGCACAGTCTGGCTTCTTGGGAGAGCTCTCCTAGGTCTACCTCTAATGTTCAGGGGTCCAAAACAGGAAGTGAGTGCAGCACATCCTGATCTCAGGTCTTCAGGGCTCTCCCTTCACCCCGCCTTGTAGGTGTGATAGTTACCAAAGTCTTAATGGGGTTTGGAACTTCCAGACCAAAGATGGAATGACTACCCACTAAAGACTATGTAAATTCTCAATATGTAAAGACAGGAGAAATTCCTGGAAGTCACCAGTTTTAAGTTTTTGGCTATGAAGCTAATCTAGGAAAAACAAAAATCACGTAAAAAAGATTCAGATGCAGGAACATTTTTTGGCCAAAAATCTCTCATTACAGAGTTACACAAGGTAAAAACAAGAAATATTTGAAGATGAGTGAGGATCAGACTAGTTGGCAAGGATAGGAAGAATATATAAACTGCTATATTGAGAATGAGCCACAAACTCATACAGAGAAAACATTTGAAAAAAAAAGGAACAGAGTTAACAAGAAGAATAAAGAAGAATATCTAAACTACATACAAAGGTCTAAGGCTAGAACATAGAGGTAGGAAAACTATAACTCAGGATTGTGAATGAAAAATTCTGATTTTAAGGAATTCTTCCTATAGAGCATGGAAGAAGCTCTCCAGGCAGTATTTGAGAAGGCAGATTTATCAAAATACCTCTCAACCAAAGGGCAAATCTAAAAGATATGTGTATAAAATTTTCTATACTTGAAGATGTAAAGTATATTTAAGCCACTGTAAAAAATGAATGCTTTGGAACAAATCAATGAGTTTAGAGTTATGAGGACTCCATGGAACACTCAATATAAAACGGCAGACAAAAATGTCTCTTGTTTCTCAAGATTGGCCTGTGAATGATACATAAGGATTTTAAAGACTGGGACTCACTCAATGAAGGATAGTCACCAACTTAGAAGCCTGAACCTTCAAAGATTTTGTTTTGTAGACCTCAGAAATTAGCTAAAACTGATTTTTTTTCCTTTTTACTTTGGGCTATGACAACCCTAAGAAAAGTAAAAGATTGGTTTGTGTATCTACTGGACACAGAGAAAGCTTTGGAGAACTTTATAGGAAACTCTCAGGTTTGGGTTTGGGTTTTGTTTGTTTGTTTTGTTTCCTCTTTTAGGAAGAGGAGATTTTTCAGTGATGTGAGAAGGAGACCACAAGTCAAAAGATAAGAAGCCACAGTTTGAAATCCTCCTTCTATATCTTTTGTTCTCCTCTCTATTTACAAGAATGGGCTTTGTATTCTTTCTGTGTCATCAGTTCCCTGTCTTCTGATGAATATCCATGGTTCTATTAGTCCTGTCTTCTCCTTGTTATCCATTTAAAGACATTCAAAATGATGTATCTCTTGGCTTTGAACAGATATTCACAAAAACTTCTTTTAAAAGTTGAGTAATCAAGAACAATAAACAACAGTTAATACTGTATTCTATATACTTCTGTGTTTTATAGGCAAACGTTAATAGATTATGCTTAGTGGTTGATTTTTATCAGTTTTATTAGTTTTACAGAAAAATTAATTTTTCTTCTTAAAGTGAAATAATTTCAGTATTGTGACCTGCTTGTGAATTTCCTTAATCCATAATAGTCTGTTTCATCTTGATACTGACAAGACCACCTTTATTTATATTTTAAGTTTTAGTGCTTATTTAAGAAATATATTTCTACTAATATAACAAGACTATTATTTTATTTCTTTTAACAATAAGACTATTATATGACTTCATAATTAGCAATAGAAATAAAAAGAATCAATCAAATACAATTCTTGGTTGTGAAATGCCATTTTTCCTGTACTAATCATTTTTTTTAAGAATTTGCAATATGTAAGAAATGATGCTTATTAGCTAACCCTCACACTATACATTATAAGTGCATAACTTGCTTAATTTCATACTATAGGAAATTATTTCCCAGAATGTGTAAATACCTTGTCCAGCACATAGGAGAGTACAGATTTCAAAGTCTTACATATGTGCCTTTCATTAAGAATATATACAGAGGTTAGGTAACTAGTAAGGTACTGTGGGAGAAGAAGGTATCTTTCAAGGAAAGGTAAATAGAGAATACTGTCATAAAGGAGGAAAGGGAAAATTGAATTGAGGTATTAAGTAGGGTGACAGATAGGAGGGCAGGATAGAAGAGGGAGTATGGTGAGAGATAAATAACACTAAATGCTTTTTGAAAAAGCCATATAGATGCCTACTACTGTAGAAGCTTCCAAATTATATTCACTCATAAAAGAAGTTGAAATGAAGTTACCCAATAATGGGAATTCACACCAAATAAAACCCCTAATACTAGGAGTAGGTTACTTCATTTTGAGTTGTTAGCAATGGGGTCCTATAGAACCCCAAACATAATGATCTATTTCAGCAATGATATTAGTGATCTTTTAAAACTTAATAGTAAGACCTTTTGTTGAAAACACTACATACTTGAATCACAGAAAATTAAAAGTCTAGTTGGCATTCAACTGGAAGCTCCATCCCTCCTGGCTAGCATTCAGAGTACAACAGGTGCTGTGCATGTCCCTGGAAGAGAAAATTTAATAATCACTAGTCTGACCCAGCTTGAAGCCTGCTTACTACCATAATAACTTGTCTGGCAAGATATATCCACTGATACAATATGGCACAAATATGGAAGTAAGAAACTACTTTCTTATTGGATTTAAGTTGGGTTCCATAAAACAGAGCCCATACCTGACACTGTCAATGGACCCAAAATCTATGACTGAATAGGTCTCGGCCCGACAGGAAAACCAGCTACTATTTTAGTAAGTAAATATACTATTAAAGCAACTCCTCATGACTTATTGCTATACTCACAGATCTGTGCTTATTTCAGTCTTCATCAGAAAATCTTCTTCTTGCACTAGATGGCAACAAACACAGAGACTCAGAGTTAGCCAATGTGCAGAGAAAAAAAAATGTCAAGTTCTCAGTGCTAAATAGCATTTCTCTATCACAACACCTCTGCCAAGGTTCAGAGATCTATGCAGAAGAGGATGCAAGGAGAATCTAAGAGCCCAAGGTAGTGAAGTACTCCAAGGTGATAATGTTTTCTAAACACAGTAGAGCAAAAGCAGATATGAACTCACACATATTATGACAGCATGCCTAAGAAACGCATAAACTCAAAGCAAACAAAATCCCAGCATGCAGGAGGGGAGATAGCCATAAAATCCCACCCCTAGCCAAAGAGATATTGACATTTGATACCTACTGGTGTAGAGATTGACAACTGTCCACAGTAGGCCACACAACAAGAAGTCAACAGAAACTGGATGAGGAGAAAGAGAGAGAACATTAAATTGGGTGGGTAGGTAGGTGGTGAAGGATCTATGAGGAGTTGGTGAAAGGGATTAATAGTACCAAACATATATTATGTGAAATTCTCAATTAATATATAGACACAGTATTTCTAAAATGTTTTACAAAGCC